CCCCCCCTCTAGCCCACTTATTTTTGAACCGATTTAAAAATTTGAAGAATAATCTAAAATGATTTTTCAGAAATTTTTCTTCCGTTGCATCGGAAAATACAGGGTGCTCGGAACAAAAGATCTACAGAGTATTACTTGATATTTTCAAATGGAACACCCTGTGTTTCATTGTATGTTTATATTCTTCCTGAAGAGCTGATTTCATCAATATATCACATTTTGGGTCTAGCGGGAACGATTACAGAGATATAGGGTGTTCAAAATCGAGATTTTTCAACTTTAGTATTTTTTTCTGCCGAAACTATTCATTATTGGTCGAAACGGCTTCTATGTCCCCATCTTAACTTTTAATTTACTGTCTACTGACATTCAATTGGAACATTTACAGGGTGGTTCAAGATTCAGAATTCTGATCACCCTGTATCTGTTCCAATTTTTAAATGTCAGTAGATAGTAAATCAAAAGTTAAGATACGGACATGGAGGCTGTTTTGACCGATAATGAATAGTTTCGTCTCAAAAAAATCCTAAAGTTGAAAAATCTCGATTTTGAACACCCTATATCTCTGTGATCATTCTAGCTAGACCCCAAGTGTGATACATTGATCAAATCAGCTCTTCAGGGAGAATCTAAAAATACAATGAAATATAGGGTGTTCCATATAAAAAAATCAAATAATACCCTGTAGATCGTTTGTTCCGAGCACCCTGTATTTGCTGATGTAGCGAAAAAAAACTTTATCAAAAATCATTCAAGATGATATTTCGAATTTTGAAATCGGTTCAAAAATAACTGAGCTAGAGGGGGGGACATGTATGGTGAATCACCCTGTACTTCCCGGACTAGGCTGGAAAAATGATATTTTCCCAAAGAAAAAGCGTCCGGGAAGTGAGCACTTCCCGGAAGGTTACCGAAAAAGAATATTTGTGTTCATCAAAGAGTAAAAAGGATATTTGTGTTCATCTAATACACTCAGTTCCAAAAAAAGTGACGCACTTGATATTTGACCTATCTTCTTAAAAAAAAAATAGTAGGCCGATTTTTTTTATTTGTTGGTAGGTAATGCGTTTGTCTTTAAAAAAAATAAAGAGGTGAAAATTTTTTCAAAGCCTCCTTGATGGTGGTGGAATAAATCTAACCATGATTTATTCTTAATTTTTTACTCACCCTGTGTGTTAATTGAGTAATGGTATACAAAGTGCTTACACTCTATACGAAAGAGGCTTCTTTTGCGAGCATTTAGTTTTTCAATTCATTGATTTATCTCTAAAATTTTCCGAATTACAGCTTATCCCACAAATTAATTTTATTGAAGGATCAGAGTACTCAAAATTGATTGGGTTGTACCCTGGTAGGATCACATTGTCTTTAAAAAAACAAATGCCGTTGCCATAGCAACTAATTTGTTGCATGCCACCATATTTGACCATTTGTCGTTGTGTCATTAATTTAGTGTCTTGTTTTATTGACTAAAATTACATAAAATGCCTCAAATAAATCCTGAACAGATAGCAAGATTAGTTGCGTTAGTAATCGATGGGCGTAGCAGAGATTATACACTCCCCATGGCATGTATAATCTCTGGGCGTAGTAAACGTTACGCCGCTCGTGCAGTGGGAGTTCATGAAGCAACTGCTCGTAGAGCAATCCGCAAGTACGAACAAACGAGATGATCGCTTCTTGAGATTGCGGATTTTACGGAATCGATCAAATACTGCGGTAAATGTTCAGCAAGATCTTCGCCAAATTCGTGATGTGGCAGTAAGTAAGCAGACGGTCTGTAGACGTCTAAAAGAAGTTGATTTAAAAGCTAGGAGACCTGCAGAAGGTTCCAAATTATTGCCCGAACATCGTGCTGCTAGGAGAAATTTTGTTGAAAATTATGGACAGTGGAATATTCCGGAATGGTCGAATGTCTTGTTTACGGAAGAGTCAAGGTTTTGCCTTAACATGGTGGATGGGAGAAAAAGAGAAGAACTGGTGAACGGTTTATTCAAAATTTAATAACAGAATGCGAAAGTTTTAATGGTGGGTCCGTTATGGTGTGGGGAGGGATTTCAATGAATGGAAAGACACCCCTTCATGTTTTTCCGGTGAGGCAGTCGATGAATGCCCAAATTTACATTGACATTTTAGAGCAATATGTGTTACCTTATGCAGAGTTAGTTGGCAATAATTTTATATTGATGCAGGATAATGCCAGACCACACACCGCAGCAATAGTGCGAAACTTCTTAGAAGCTACTGGTATTACCACATTACAATGGCCTGTGAGAAGCCCCGATATGAATCCTATAGAACATTTGTGGGATGAGTTAGGGAGAAGGGTACGTTCTCGCGAGAGGTCTCCGGAAAGTCTCGCAGAGATGGCAGATGCATTAGTGGAAGAATGGGATCGTATACCTATGGAAACGATAAGCAACTTAATTTCCAGTATGCCTCGTAGATTAGAAGTTCTTAAAATTGCTAGATACACGGTATTAAGCAGTCATCCCAATTTATAATTTTGTGTTTAATAAAAACTGTTTTTAAAATTATTGGTATCAGTTCATTTCATTAGAAAATTGTTATAAATTCAGAAAGTTGGTAATCTGTGAGGATTCAGCAAAAAAAGCAGTAATTCGGAAAATTTTAGAGATAAATCAATGAATAAAAAAACAAAATGCTCGCAAAAGAAGCCTCTTTCGTATAGGGTGTAAGCACTTTCTATGCCATTACTCAATTAACACACAGGGTGAGTAAAAAATTAAGAATAAATCATGGTTCGAGTTATTCCACCACCATCAAGGAGGCTCTGAAAAAATGTTCATCTCTTTTTTTTTAAGACAAATGCATTACCTACCAACAAATAAAAAAAATAAAAATCGGCCCACTATTTTTTTTTAAGAAGATAGGTCAAATATCAAGTGCGTCACTTTTTTGGAACTGAGTGTAGTTATTGAAGATAATAAGGCACTTGTGAGTATTATGCGAGGCAAATTCTAGAACACTTCATTGATTTTGTGAACTATACAGTTAGAGAGTTAGATCCGATTTCCTTTTTTGTAAAAAAGTTGGACCTTTCATCCTGTGGCGGAACTGCGAGCACTGTGAAGGGCCAACTACTATCGGTAAATTCTTCTCTTGAAGGTGAACAGTTTTTTAGCTGAAAATACTTATATGATGAAAACTTGTGTTTCAAAGAAATAAAAATGACAAGAGTTACCACTGACATAACTACTGTGTTCGGAAACATAATAAAAGCAGATTAAGATATATGACAGGTAATAAATGAGCATTATTCATGTTCTCCAGTTCGATCTTTTGAGCCGGCATGGCTTCTTCCTTATGGAATTAGCGGTGTTAAGTCGTGTTTTTCATTGATTAAATCTCATTTCAAAATATCAGCGTCCATTCAAATTCTCTGACAAACTTCTAGTTGTTTTCTTTTTCTGACATTCATGTATCTAACTAACCCTTTTTGTTTTAATATATATACAGAGTAATTATTGATAGAAGTATTATCATGGAGACATTTTCTAGATGGTAGTTTAGGTCAGTGATAGTTACCGATACTATGACATGTTGTAATTTCTAAGGAATATGGTCAACAATTATTAACGAGTCTGAACCAGAATTTCAAAGTGCTTCTAGAACGTGACGCAGTAAAAATAACCTCATTGAAAAGTTAGGCAAGAGTTCTAGAACGGTCAGATATCTTCGGAACCATTCATCAGATTTTTTTTCAGTTTTTGCACTTACCGGTAAAATAATCGATCCAATCAAAATTTTGATGAAGTTTGCTCATCAGTAACGTTGTTGATTAAAATCTGGTTTGAGGAACATTTTCTGACACAAGTTTTAAATTCCAGGTATCAGATCTTATTATTCAGGGTGACACAAAGAGTGTCTCTTTACCTCAACTTCAGAACAATCAATCAAATGGCCCAGCTGTTACACCCTGCAGTTTCTGACTTTGTTATAAAGCTACAACTATTCCTAGAATTTTTCTCATTTTGTAACAACCACTTTATTTTTATAAAAGATACAAGGGTTTTAGAAGACATTTTCTAAGGGTATAACAATAAATTGAATAATTGTCAATAATGAAAATATAGAAAACGACCTGAAAATTATCTGAAACTGCTGCAATTATTCTTGGTATGCTCACGAATAGGTTTTCAATTAGGCCATATATTGCTATTCTTAAATCGAAGCTTTTGTAAATGAGCAGGTTATGGTACAAGTTTCCTCCAAAAAGTATCTATAACTGTTCAATTGGATACATGTCTCGAGTGTGGTGAATTCATTACTGTGATTCTTGGCTATTTTGCCAAAAATATTCGGCGATTATTGGAGTATGACTAACATACTATTTTTTATATTGAATCAGACGATAAATATTAATACAGAAATCCGCGGCGTCAATACTAAATAATAATTGTTATATAATTGACGTTAGACATGTCAAAAAGTTTACCAAAGTTGGTTGGTCACGTGTGGGTCAAATCGGCTTGTGTATTGGTAGAGGAAATTCGATAATTTTAAGTAAATAAAAAATATCGCTATGATATAGCAGAAACAGTGAAAATTGTCCATTCTGATTGGTTCTCGAAAACAAGAGTGGAATAGTCATCAACAAGTTTTACAGCTGGCGGTATGGCATCATCATGCATCACCATGAAATTGACTCTGATGGAGGGTGCAAAAAATGACATTATGGCTCCAGAACTTCTCTTAAACATCTAGGGTGTTTTGGAGTAAGAGTAAGAACATACGATTTGTGTCACTTTATGAATAATATAAACTTCCTAACTCGCGAAAACCCTTAGAGGGTTTCTGAAGGCTTTTTCAGCAACCAAGACAATGATTTACAACTTCCAATGCAACCTATTTTCTCAATGTACTATTCAGTCTTCAGTTAGAGACCTTCAGAATGTTCAATCCATTTGATCAGGGCTGTGAATTGGAATTATGTTCAGCAAAGGCTTACACTACAGCTAAGAAAAATAGAGTCTTACCTTCTCTTCATGATGTATGGGCCTTACTAATTTATCATTCAAAACTATTTCTTCAAGTACTAATTCATGTACCAATAACTTAGTGTGTGAACATAGCTCCTTACATACTTCATAAGCCTTTTTGTTAGGGCCCACCTATAATGAAAGTAATGAGGGCTGACATTATTCATTGTCCACCAAACCGCGCCACCGAAACATGAGATCAGGGTTGGTAGAACTGATGAATATACTTTCTTATTTTCGTGTCATTTGGCCTTTTGCTATGATATCTTCCTCTCCGTCAATATAAGAATTGGTCGCAAAGTTCCACATTGGGCGTAAATAAACGTAAGAAGGCTCACGTCTTTGGATAACTTAAGCTTTCCAATCTGTTCAAATATTCTGCATCATTTTTTAAAAATATTTTCGATGAAACGGGCCATAGCTTTTAGGGCTATCCGGCAACATTTTGGAATTTTTGACTTTGACTTTGACCTCATGTTCTAGTAGCGCCAACTGGTGAGACTGAAAATGTTGGCCCCCATTGATTGATGGCAATTTTTCTTTTATGTTCATACCTTATGAAACAAAGTTGTCCATGTTCTTCAATTTTGTTTTAACAAAGGTTTGTGAAATATATCGCATAGTGAAAAGTGTGTCAAATCGTACATTTCGAATTGAAAGATCAACTTTATATAAAGACCGGCCGAAGCATTTTATGTAATAAATTATTGATTTTGAAGTTAATTATATCTGCTCGCTTAGTTTTGGTAATGAAATAATGACAATTATCAATCTATAATATTACATTATATATTACCATACAGAACATAATACTAAAATCAGCGAAAAAGGGTAATAGTTGTCTGAAAACCCTCATGAGCAGAAATATATTCTCTATTAACGATGCAAGGATATTTTTAAAGAAATTCATCCATTGGAAGAAACAATTTACATCGCTGAACGTTTTTCCTGTACTGTGTAGTTAGAAAGACAAACAACATCAGTTATTTTAATGAAGTTATAAAGATATTGCGATCAAAAGTTTTATTTAACATAAAATTCACTTACTGATACATTATAAGCCTTTCCCTCTTTATTGTGTATGTAAATCCAGATTCTCAAATCTCCTGCACTCTTCTTATTACTCACAGATCCTTGTGGGCATTTTGAATATTTCTCTAATACTTTCAACATGTGTCTTTCTTTCTCTAGTTCTCCTGGATCTTCAGGAAATATATGACGGTAAAATTTTATTAGTTGACCTACAACTTCAGTATCAAGCTTGTGGTTGTGACTTACATTTGGCTCTACATCTCTATTCTGAAATGTAATATAGCAATATAAATATATCATCAAGACCTATGAAATTCACAAAATATTTTTGATTATAGAAAGTGTCCGAGTTGTTTTCAATAAGCTTCCTCATGTTTTGATCTACCTTCTGTCCAGAATGTCACAGGTAGGGTAGGTACTGTTTCATTGTAAGGTTGGTAGGTATATTTCATTTAAGCCCAGTACTATTCATTCATTTTTAGTTGCCTAGTTTAGAATGTCGATCTACACAAGGGTACACCTCATCAGCATTTTATGATCTGATTGAAGTGTTTTGGGTGCTTTCATTTAGCTAGAACTTGAGCAGAATTATGGTTATGGTTTCAAGATCACGAATCCTTTTTGATATTGATTATGATGAAAATGGCAAAGACATTATTATATCAAAATTTCATTTAACATTTGATGTTTCCATGGGAATGTGAGATAATCATATATTTTCTCAACGTTACACGAAATGGATGATGTCGAAGTTTTTTTTTTAACATATTCTGATCGGCGGCAATAAAATATTGTAGGTCTTTTAGGTCGCATTGTATTGTATTGTAAGCAAGAATTCAAGACAATTACATATCATACCATTATAGTAGAATAATGATAGTTCAATTTCATGAGGAAGTAGAAATGAGTAACGAATAATACCTCATCAAATATAAATAAAGTTCAATAGATTTTGCTTAAATAATACGATCGAAACTTCTGGAAGCTCATTTATTAAAATACATTTATGTATCAGAAAAGAACCAGATTCAATTCAAAATAATACTATAACGAATAATATAACTCACACAATTATAAAATTCGAACGGAACAAAAAAATAAAACGAAAATTCATTGCAATGAAACAAATTTAATACAAAAAACTGAATGGATTGCTTTTGGTTATCATGCATTGAACTTCAAGAAGTTCATTTCAAACTGTCCATGCCCACCTTCATCATGGTGGTAATCCAAAGAAGGTGGGCATGGTGCGAATTGGGTATCGTAGAAATTGGCCGTCGTGAGAATATATGAAAAGTGGGCACGGTTGGAATCCAAGGAAGGTGGGAATGGTGAAAATTGGGCATTGTGGGAATCTATGAAAAGTGGGTATAGTGGGAATCTTTTGTTTTCTGAATTGTTCTCTTGACATGGCAACGTTGCGCTTTTCGGCAATCTACGTGATCGTCGACATGAAGGTGGGCATCGTAGGAATTGGGCATCGTGGGAATTGGGCATCATGGGAATTGGGCATCACGGGGAGCTCCCCTTATATTGTCTGACAATTCCTTTCTATTCGCAGCGTGTTAGTTATTATTGTAGAGACGGTTCACCATGTATCCTCATACATTTTGAATAGAATTCAGGTCAGGGCTTCTGGCAGGCCATGGTAACGTATCAATAGCATTGGCGAAAAAAAATGGGGCATGATAAATCTGTTTTGAACCAGATGATTTATAATCTCTTTGGGATATTTCTGATTCACCTGTTGAAATATGAAATTTTCTTCCAGATAAAACTGAAATATGAATTCTATATCATTCATCTCTAATAAACATTCCTTCGATTGTCTTGATATTTGAAAATTTCTATTGAAATAACAAAATGATTAAAATTTGTTTCATCTATCTAAAGGCGGGCTAACACCTTTTTTTTGAAATTCAACTCTTTTGACCCTTGAGTTATCTGCTCAACTCAATTTGAAAGAAAATTGTTATATCCACCTAGGAAACAAGCTGCAAGAAAAATTCTAGGGAATTGCACAATTTAAAACAAGTTTTTTACTTTTCAAGAAACAGTGTCAAGTTTTTTTCTTTCATTAATATCAGCCCCTGATCTGAATGAATGATTCCCATTTAACTACATCAGAAGTATATGTTGTTATTGCAAACGAACATACCAAGTTTGATGAACATCAGGTCTAGGAATTAATAAAAACAATATTTTTCAAACTTGCCACACCCTGTATCTCGAAAAACTACGGAGCTTCTTTTTATTTGCTTGCGAAAAATTTTTATGTCACAAGCTCCCATACTTCCATATTTTAATAGTATATTATGTAACAAGTGTTATAAACGTCCTTTTAGTAACGAGTAGTTTAAGCACGAGCGGAGCAGAGCGGAGCGAGTGTTTAATAAACGAGTGTCTAGAAGAGTTTATAAACGCGTTACATACTATGATTTTTCTACGAACTCCAAAAATTACATTAATTAACATACCTGCTATTCCTGCTAACCTACAAAATAATTCGAAAGGAATGGGAATTGAAAACATAATACATTCAACTGCATGCAACCAGCGAGACACGTATAAGTGATATTGGTTGTAGAACTGTCCAGTCCATTGCTTACTAACCTTTGTTTCACGTTTATTGTCATGCTTAGCGCAGAATAAATAAATTGTTCTCAAAGATGGATGCTTCATTTGTACACTTCTTGGAGGTATGTAAGTACCTGAACATTCTCTTCGATTTCACTTGCGTCTACTTTTCGAATATATTTTTAATGAAGAATTCCGATACAAACGAATATTGTTTGAATAATTCTGATACAAAATATGAAAATAACAGTTGACAGTTAATACAATTGACAGGCCAGACATGTCACGAACTACTGAAGCTGTGTTTAATGAACTGCGTTGCCATGGTAATGTGTTTAAGAAATCGTGTTGCCATGGTAACGTGTTTAATATTTTGAATAAATCACAGATCGACAATCCGTGATTAATCGATCATTTAGCGTGGTACAAATCCGTACGATAAATGCCATTTTAGTTATGTGAGTAGAAAAAATAAATTATATTGAACCAAATCATGAAATGAACTTTCACTAGTCATTCTACCTGTTTTTTCACACCATACTAGAGAGAAATAAAATAAGAGGATAAAGGAAACTACCTACCGTCGCGGTCGTGCTGTGTAAAAAAGATAGATATTATAGTCTGTGTGCATAAGCAGATATTTCGAGGAAATCATGACACGAGTCGTTACGATTTATTTAGGCAGCAGTGTACATTGGCGTAGACGGACATTCAGTATTGAAGATTGATTTAAATTTAAAATATAGGTACAAGTATTACAATGAAAATGTACCTACCATTACCAATCATTTTGACAAAAATTACAATAATTCAATCATTGGACCACTCAATAGCGGATATGGCGCAACAAAATTAAAAAGAGATTTTTAATAATATCTCTAACAAGGTGGAACTTGACCTCATGCAGTACTGTTTGAAAATGTTGAAGAGGTTGCTCTGTGAGGTAGGTGGTTGATAGGTGGCTGAAAATTTTTGTGTAACAAAATTGATTTTCAAAAATAAAAATCAGCATGTCCATGGATTTTTCAAAATATACAGGGTGGGCATTAGTGCATCGAAGCTCAATTGCTCGAGTTCTATGATAGCTAGAAACTTGATTCTAAAACGAATGTGAATGAGACAACAAGGTCTGCAACTAGAAATTATTGCCGCATATACAGGAGGCACTGGAAAAAATCTGGAGGATCAGGAATACTTTCTTTTAATGAAATGCCCTATATATTAATTAGCACATTTATTAAAGCATCTCTGTGACCTCGATCCACTCCTATAATATTGTTGAATATATCTCGATAATTTCAAAGTTAGTAATTTTTTTGTCGAAATAATGTCATCTGCAGAAGTATACTGAAAAAATCACGGTAGTCACAATTATGAAATTTAAGAGAGAATATCAATTACAATGAATTGAATACTATTTTCGATATAAAAACGATATATTCACAAAACTTAACAAGACTCAGTTCAGATAGAAAACATCAGATTGATCACTCCTATTATCTTGGATACCATCATATACAGAGTATCTGATACCTTCATATCAATACAGAGTATCATTATTATTTATCAGTAACAGAGAATAATCATAATATTTTTAGATGGAAACATATGTGATATTTCTGTATAATTTTCATGCTCTCAAATTATACAGAGTTTTTCAAATGGAACACCCCATTTATTTTTAGGCCATTTGGTATGAAATCGAAACACGAACATCTTTTATCTCAACATCCATATTGATATTCATAACCATTGAACTTCGAAAATTTTAGATTGGCAATTTTCATCGATACACATTCTCATCAGTTATCAAAACATCAAAAGTCCAATTAATATTTCAGTAAACTTGTTTTTTTATTGAAGGAATTGAAACCAGAATTGAAGCAATCATCAGATTTAGTTCATATGCTAGTATTTTACAAAGTGAAAAAGGAAAAAAATTCCATTTTCAAAATATCCCATAAATTCATAGCACAAAACAAAACCAGGATAATAATTCACAATTATGCAAAATGGGAATTTTCCTCTTTTTCACTTAATGAACTAGCATATGAAATATTTCTGTTTACTTTGATTCTGGTATCAATTTTCGCAATATCAAAACAAATTTAATGAATTATTAATTGTGATTTTGATGTTTTATTAACCGATGAGAAGTATATCGATGAAAATGGCCAACCTATAATTTTCGAAGTTCAATAATTCTAAAATGGTTACGAATATCAATATGGATGTTGAGATAAAAGATGTTCGTGTTTCGATTTCACACCAAATGACCTAAAAATATATGGGTTTTCAATTTGAAAAACTTGAGAAAAATCACTTCCAAAAGTTTTCTGAATTGAAAAATCGATTTTAGCCACCCTGTATAATTTGAAGGCATAAAAATTCTACAGAAATATCCCGCATCTTTCCATGAAATGATATTATGATTATTCTCTGACTTTCATGATTGTGACTACAGTGATTTTTTCGGTATGAATCTGCAGATGACATTATTTCGAGAAAAAAATTAATAACTTTGAAATGATCGAGATATAGTCAACAATATTAAAGGAGTTGTTAGAGGTCACAGAAATGCTTCAAAAATGTGCTAATATACAGGGAATTCCATTAAAAAAAGTGATCCTGACCCTCTATATTTCTTTCGGTGCCCCCTGTATATGCGGCAATAATTTCTAGTTATTGACCTTGTTGTCTCATTCACATTCGTTTTTGAATCGAGTTCTTTAGCTATCATGGAACTCGAGCAATCGAGCTCCGACTCACTAATGCCCCACCCTGTATATCGCTAATATGGAAATACAGATTTAATTCCGTCATAGGTTTCCACACTGTACCTATAGTACGAATTAGTTCAGATTATCCTTCCATTGAATATTGTGGGGATGACTTAGTGTGTTTAAGCTAGTATGATTTTATATTGAGAGCTAAAACTCTATTCTACTACATTGAACAGAATGTTTCTTCACATTCGAAAATTTTCAGCAATAATGGTAGAAAGTTTTTTGCATGTACCTCGTGATGTAGCAGTGTCGGCCCCCAAATAGACGCGAGATTATCAATAGTCATGAGGTTCTTTGAACTTTGTGAACTTATGAAATGGAGGTGTCCAAACAACTTCCTTCCTGTATTGTAAGACACTTGGGGGAGTTGATCTAAAGCAGCTCTGTACATTCTTATCCTTTCATCTTTATTATTATGCTCTGAAAATCATGATTGAGGATGTACTCTTATATCAGTTATCCTCAATTAAAATAACATAAGTATGTGCAAGGAGATTTGACAAGCAAAAAAAAGCTTACTTGAAACTTCATGGAGATACTGTCTTTGATTACTACCCAGAAGAGGTTCTGGCAAATCTCTGAAAAATCTTTTCAAAGCAGTTGCTACTTCATGATCAGTGCACTGGTCATTAGTGAGCTGAACAGCAAATGCGTCTTTTCTGAATTTCGACAATAATTCAGAAACTGAAGATCCAGTTCCGGGTCGTCTATAAATACCCTCAGTCATACTACCTACAAAATATAACGACATCAACATGTTGAATGAAAAACTTTTACTTGAAGAATTTTTATTCAGCTGATGTAAACAATCATTTTACTTGATTATTTGGGATTTTCTCTCCTCGTTTCAATAAAATAAAAATATTAGTATTATTTCAGATCCGATTTCAAATGATTTGCCCCAAAATTTCACTGCGTTTAACAAATTTTTTTATCAGGGAGCATAAAAGAAAAATCCGATAGCTTGTCAGTGACACTATTTGGAAAAACGTTTGAAGAAAAGAAATATAGCTATATGGAAGAATATGGAATTTTTTACTTATCTTTGGACGTTTTGGAAACGAATCTGCTCCCGATGTCAACATGAGAATGCAAAAATATTCGGGCCGTAAAGTGCCGTAAAGTGCACTTTACCGCCCGCTGTTCTCAAGTCCCTTAACTCTCAGCTGATTCTATCGTTATGATTAAGATACATGTTATATTGTACATCCCATTCCATCTTTGCTATAACTTCCTACTTTGAATAGTTGCTTTCTGGCTGTCTGAAGTTTTTAGCGAGAAGATGACAATTTCAGCTTGTCTTTTGGATGTATTGCTAGACAGCAACCAGCAAATTGATTGACAACGTCAAATTTAGGTAGCTATATACTGGGTATACATATTGTTACATCTCAAGTAATGAAACTCTGTTAGTGAACGAAGAGTTTTACTCTTACGATAATTGCGATATTCGTACGGTAATTTTGATATGTAGATTATACACATAAACATTGCGCTTATCTTGAAAACTGAACTTAGGAGTAACATATGAATTTCAGTTTGTTGAAATCTAGTCATTACTTGTGACTCGGGAAATAAACCACTAGTGCATAAAATGTTGTATGTATCACGTGTGTAAATTTGCGTTTATGGCCTTCAGCGTGTAATGGCCCTCGGCTAGCGCATTCGGGCCATTATTCACGCCACAGGCCATAAACGCCTACTTTACGCCTTATATACATAAATAACTATTTTCAAAGTTGTGTTCTTATAGTTTGTTTGACACTTCTCAGTGACACTCTGATGTGTTTACAAATGAGTTACAGGATGTTTTCATTATTTGATCTTGAATCTACCATTTACATGTTCAGTTTCCAGTAGTGAATACCATGTCCCATCTAGAGTCACTGGATGATATCAGTAGATAAGAGTTCGGATACAGCTGACCTTCTGTCCTTTTACATTTTCTAAATTACAATGCTTGAGTGAATTGAAGAATAATACATATATTCTGCTCATTGTCTTTTCAATTTGCCTAATAGCCACTCACCGTATTTAAACTATGCCTTGTGTTTGTGGAAAATATTATTCAGGTGAAATGAAGAGACCTCTCTCAGAAAGGACTAAAGAACACAAGTACAATATCAAGAAAAGACATATCGATAAATCAAAGCTAACTGAACATAACCTAACTGACATTGAACAACATATTGCAGAGTGGAAAAATATTAAAATCATAGGAAAGGAAGATGACCATAAGAGAAAAATCAAGGAATCCGCTTGCATTCTTCCGAACCGAATAATAGCATTGCTTCCTGTTCAGTTGATATAGATAGAACATGGGATTCACTACTGAAAACTGAACATGGAAATGGTAGATTCTACTCTATCAATTAATGAAAACATCCTGTAACCCTATTGTACACTAACATCACTCATTCTTCTGCCAACATCAGTATGTCACTGAGAAGTCAAACTATAAGAACACAACTTTCAAAGAAGAATATTTTTGCATTCTCATGTTGAGAACGGGAGCAGATTCGTTCTCGAAACGTCCAAAGATACGTAGAAATTCGATATTTTTTCAATGTACCTATATTTCTTCTTTTCAAACGTTTTTCCACAGAAAGTGTCAGTGACAAGCTATTGGATTTTTCTCTTAGGCTCCATGATAGAAAAAATGGTTAAACGCAGTGACATTTTGGAGCAAATCATCTGACAATACACATGTATTCAAATAATACTCATATTTTTATTGATAGAAACTAGGAGGGAAAATCCCAAATAATCAAGTAAAATGAATGTACCACCTCCTCGATTAACCTACAGACAGTATTTGATGTAAACAAATTTCTATTCAACTCAAATATTGCTCATAAACATACAACTTACCATGAGCATAAATAAAATTAATACATTTCTCTACAATCACTGGTACGTCATTTTTGGTGAGCTGCTGTTGATCTAAGTTAGCTCCATTATTATGAGCTTCTAGTTTTATTATGTGGCACCAAACCTAGAGAATATGTTTGTATTGATGATTTCAAATGTATGTGATTGAAAAACATTATATTGTGGTACTAAAATTGATGGAAAGTATCATTATAACCTTTGTTTCTCTAGATGTCCACATCCTCAAATATAAAACCAGATCCGGAGAATCAATCAACATGTTTGGACCTTTATCATTGGTTCTCGGATTATTTTCATTTTCTACATAAGCATGAAGAAGAATGCATCTTGCTTTCTTGAGATCCATCTTTTTAACCGATTGGCCATCTATGGCATATGAAAATTCCCTTTCACTCAAAACAATCCATGCTCCAATCCATTTGCCACCGACTCCTGCAAAATTTCGACAATCAATTTTCACGTGAACCGTCAAAAAGGCACGGGTGGATTTGATTTTATCCATTATTAATAAAATGCACAACCGTCCCATTTTATTAGACCCAGACAATTTCATTTTGGTGTGGACAACATGGATCTTTAAATGTTCACTGTCATTTATTAAAAAAAAAAAACATAATCATCATTTGGTTCTTTACATTTACAAATTGAAACCGAATATTGTATACGTAGAACAGAGAATCTCAAATAACTTCATCCAATTACATCTCAATCAATTCCATCTTGTCCGGTGGACATTAAATCCATTAAACCTCATAATAATTTTTATATCATCCTGTTTTATACCTGATTTTGAGATTTTGTATCCGAACACTTTTACGTCATCAAGAACTATCCACACAATGTGAATTTTTCAGAAAACATCTTCAACATTCAATGTTATTCAATTATTCGTCAGGTGAAATGCATCATTTCGAATGCATCTGAACAAAAAAATTTCGAAGTTGATTCGAGAAAAGACATAAAAAAATATTAAAAATATTGATTCAAACAGGAACAGAACTACTCCGCTAAAATTATACACTACTTCAATTAGTATCATCTTATAGAACGTTCATCTGGAACTTTAGTCTCATATTGCTCTGATGAGTAAAGCTGACACGTTGAGATAGCCAACTGTGACACTTGAATATAAATCAGTTATAGGATCCATGAGTAATTCAATTTTGAATTCGGCCTATATTTTGGACCGCGATGTTTATTTTGTTTATTAGTTCAGTTGGCAGAGAGTATTATGGAACAAGACAATTATATTATATAAAACCAAATTATAAAAAAAGTTTTATTTTGTTTATTAGTTCAGTTGGCAGAGAGTATTATGGAACAAGACAATTATATTATATAAAACCAAATTATAAAAAAAGTTTTCTCCCTAAACGGCATAGAAAATGACTTTTCTATGAAACTTAACAGGCAGCAAAGGTGTACTTTCTCTGCCTAAGCAGAAAAAGTTTGTTGCTATGCAACATTCCAAGTAATTTGACTGAAATTGGTAATCAATATTGACACTGACATTGTATGCACACAAAATGATGGGGTTTCCAATGAAACAATTACACAAAATTGGTTTTATAACATTTGGATAAAAAATTATATGTTTCACATGACAGCAAAGTAGAATTCCTAGCCTCGCTACGCTCGGCTATGAACTATCAGCCGCGACAGTCAATCTACTGCTTTGTTGCCTAGTAAAACAAATAACTATTTCAAGATGTTAGTATAGGCACATCTTCATTGAATTAAATTTCATGTTTGATGAATCCTAAAAACTTTATCTACCTAATAAGAATTAGTCGAAGAATTTAAGAGAATAATGAATTATTTCATTACCTTCTCGGACATAAGCCCATCCCATTCTTGTGAAATTAGTTGTGATTTTGCTTGAAAACCGATTTGTGAGAGACTCTGCAATGAACTGCATCCAGATTCGCCTTTCACTATTATTTCTTGAGCCATACACATGACCTCCTCTACTTTTACCAGTTGTGTTTATCTCAAAACAATACAGGTCATCATTATCATATCTGCAGAAGAAATATATCGAATAGTTATTGTCTTAACGAATCCGGAAAAGTCACTTCCATTTTAATGGAAACCACATGAATATAAATTTTAGACAAAATATTATTTGTTGTTACTAATGTTGATCAGTCGACTTTTTTGTTCATAATTTTTGCACAATTTTGAATTCATCAGAAAGAAAAACTCCTCCACAAGATCTGATATAACATCAAGTTATTGAGAAAAATACTCATTTCCATAATAAAAATCTGGTACACTTAAAAAAAACGCCAGCTCTCGATGACTTCATACACCTTCTCGCGCCAATAGTGATATTCGTTGAAATATTCCCCAACAACCAGTAAGAGCATAATTGAGTACTTATATATCAAGATGCTTCAGTGCCAATCAGAATATCCGTATATTTCTAATAATGATCGAGATTTTATTATTACCCAAATTATCTTGTGACCCTGGCAACAGCATAAAGCTTAAAGGTCACAGAAATAGCAAGGAAAGAGGAAGAAGCGGAAGCTAACCTTTCAACCTCAACTTCGTCTGTTGCCTTCACATTCAAAAACCTCTCGCCTAGTCAAATTTAGCAAATACTGTGAATATTCAAAGATGAACCTTAGATTATCTGATTCTTCAGTTGTGTGTTGTGTTATGTGTTATCTGCAATAAGTATACAGTATCATTGATAAACTTGATTCTGATTATTTGAAAAGTTTATCTGGTAATCTGACCAACTCATTAGTTTATTGGTTAATTTGAAGGTTAGCCTATCAAGTTTTTATTCAAACGATAGTATGGTACCTATACTAATCATTATACAGGGTGTCCCTAGAAGGTATTTACAAAAACGCACCACATATTCCTCAGACCAATACAATGAGATGAAAGCAAATTCACCAAGTAAAAAGTTGCTTAGTTTCGGCGCTAGACATCTCTGAAGTTACAATTTTCAAATCGTTTTTGCTTCATAAGTTTGAAATGGCTCATAAGATTTTGCTCAAATTTCGTACGTTGATATAGCTTTATTGGGCACTAAAATCCATATCATAATTATGATAAATATCATTCCATGGGCGTAGAACTATATTTTTTTAGTAAATAATCATCTCAAACGTATATACAATGGAAAGAAAGGGGTTTGAATTTGAAATTTGGAATGCATAACTTGTTTACTACAAGAAGTTACTCTTGATAAAATTTGATTACTCTCATGGTTTCGCCAAAATTAGATTTTTAGTAATTTAAAGCCTCAGTTAACATTAAAACAATTAACAGATATGTCATAAGGACGTATAAATCTTTGTATAGGTACGTGAAAATGATGAAAATTTTGAAAACATTTTATGAAATATCTGTTAATCGTTTAAATATTGACTTATGCTCTAATCTACTGGAATTGAAATTTTGTCGAAACTATAAGACTAATCGAATTTTATCATATGTAATACCACAAGTGATACTATTTTGCCGGAAATATTTGGCAGCTTATTGTTGCCTAATAATTTCACGAGGTTGGTTGGTCACGTGTGGGTCAATTCGGCTTCTGTATTGGTAGAGCAAGTCCGATAAAATTTAGTAAACAAAAAATATCGCTGTATTACGTATGAAACCGTGAATATGGTCGATTCCGATTGGTTCTTGAGACCAAGAGTGGAATAGTCAGTAGTGAATAAGTCACACGACCCAAATTTTATATTCAAACCCCTTTCTTCCCATTGGCGTGGAAGTTTCAGATGTTTATTTACTGAAAAAACAAAGTTCTACGACCATGGAATGATATTCATCATAATTACAGTATGTTTTATTGCCCAATAAAGCTATGCGCTAACATACCAAATTTGAGTGAAATCTCATGAGCGGTTTCAAAGTTATGGAGCGAAAACGATTTTTTAGATAATTGTAACTTCAGAACCATCCAGCACCCAGACTAAGCAACTTTGTACTTCAGTAAGTTTGCTTGCATGGAATTGTTTTGGTCTGAGGAATATGTAGTAGTATTTTGTAAGGACATTTTAGGGACACTTTGAATAACATCTGAATCCTCTGATCACAACATACTAAGTAACCGATACAGGGTTGAATGATATCTTCAACGTTTTGGTTGATTACAAGCATTTCAGAATATTCAATGAGTGAATTAAAAAACTCACCTATAATTGTATTTTTTATCCTGAAGAATCTGGACACTCAGTATATTCTGTGCTGGAAAATGTTCCTTCAGATTTTGGCAAGAATTATCAGAGTAGCAAAGTAAACTGGAATTCTCCAGACAACACCATCTCCCACTATATTCTCCAAATAAGTCTTCAACTGGTCCACTTTGGACTTTATAAAGCATACCTTTCTTCAGGATAACCTATGAAAATCATTAACATCGAGTATAAAGTTTTTGTTTCTCATTTTAGACGGCTTTAAAACCGATTGACTATCCATAATGAATGAGACAACCGGTTGCAAATATAAATGTATCTGATAGAAAGTACAATGAATGTTTGTTCAAATTCAAGTTTCCATGTACCTATCTTGAATCATTACTGTTCAGTTTCTCTCATAATTAATGAAATTTCGCTTACTGCATCTTGCAAATTAGTTATTCATGTACCAAGGACGAAAAACTGTCAATTATAGTCGAGTCTGCAAATTGATAGCCGAGGCCTTAGCCGTGGCTAGCAATCAGGCGAGTTTACGCCGAGGTGCATATTGAATTTTTTCGTCGACCTCAAATACGCATATCCACATCACGGCCTTATGCACACGTGAAATCTATCGGATTTCATGAATAATTGATTTGACAACAGCAAATGACAGTTGTTATCAACTCACTCACCGCGCGGACGAGGGTTGCCAGTTCGATTTTCATTTCATCAGTAAATACCTTGTCGAAGAATTAGGTCTATTTTATGCTATACGAATTTCAAGGAAGGATAATGAAATGAACCTCTATGACGTCGAAACATTATGTACTGTTAGTAAACAGAAAAGTAACCTTTTTCCAACAAAATAGAAACAAACAAAACAAACATTATCATAAAAAAATAATCATATTCCTAATTCTCAGTTTGAAAATACTCACAAATATCACAAAATACAGTTACCTAGGTAGTTACTCATAAGATTTGGGTATATAAAGAACAGGAACGAATAGTAAAAATGAATAACAAAAATACAAAACAAATAAAACAATAAACGTAAGAAACAAACTGTTATAACAGAGGTATATAAAGTATTGAATTTGATCTCAATCAGATAAAGTATTGTCCTATTTTGGTTAATAACATATTAGTAACTATAAGTAAGATTATTACTTACTTATTTTGTAAAATTAATTTGAACAGAGTGTGCCAAAATATCATGCAATTTATATGTTTATGTGATTAACCAGAGATATATATAATAATATATTCTTGAAAATATTAGTGGGATGCAGTCTGGACCAATGAATTAATTAAATTTCTTCGTTATTTGTCGAGCTTTCGAAAATTTTTATTTTCTTTATCAAGACTAAAAACATGAAATTCTATATAAAATTAGCACAAAAAGGAAACATAGGTGTATAAATAAAATGTTTCCTTTTTGTGCTAATTTTATATAGAATTTCATGTTTTTAGTCTTGATAAAGAAAATAAAAATTTTCGAAAGCTCGACAAATAACGAAGAAATTTAATTAATTCATTGGTCCAGACTGCATCCCACTAATATTTCCAAGAATATTATTATAGAACAGTCACGAAAGCTTCCCCTTGTTAAATATAATAATATAGGTGATTATAATGATAAATGAGTGTCACAATATTGTTCAGTATGTTATGAAATGTTTCAGTAGCAGTAGATCATTACGCAAATCAGAAGATCTACTGAAAATTCAGTAGGACTGGCAACCCTGCAACGGACGAAAAGTGTTTTTGGACGAACGGTACTTGACTTCGGAAATAGTCGGTTTTTCGTTCGGAAATTAGAACGTAAAATGCAATTTTTTTTAGAGGTCGACGAAAAACTAATATTTTTACGGCTATAACAGAACATTCCTCTTGTTTTACTGTGTTCGATACATCAATGAGGTACTTTGTATGTCATCAATTTTATTTCCGTATCTGATATCACATGAATCCATTGTGTTATAATTTCAAAAAAATCTCATCGCTCATAGAATGTCAAATTGCAAGAAATTACAGAACTGTCTAATAGATGAGCATTACTTGACAGGATATTACATGGCTACAAGCCGAAGAAATCGAAAATGACGCTGTTATCTGTTACAGCCGTAGAAAAATTATAGTGTATAACTTGCACGGAATGCTAATTTCCTTATCGAATGATTGCAGCATTCACCTATGGCTCATGCTGTAAACTTCATTCTCGTAGGAAAATCATTCTGTGCTCGTTAAACAATATACTATATTTCAATCGGTGTAATGAAATAGACATTTATGAAACCAGTCAAGACACGGTTTGATTTGTGTATTGATGAGATCTAGCAGGACAATATTTTTCATTATTTTGTCGAGAAAATGTTTCCCAAATTGATGAGATTGATAGTTTCAATGTATTGTATCGAGAAATGTGGATATAATATTTCGTTGGTCAGTTTGAAGTTTCCTTCATACGACAGAATATCGCGTTTGACAACAGGATTTTGGTTGACACAATGAACATTACATCACCAGCTATGAAACATTTTTACTTTACGCAAAGGGTTAGGTAGGGTAGGACGTTTCAAAACTTTCGTCAGTTCTGAAAAGTGTCATATTACATGTGAAAACTATTTTTCTCAACTCTCTGAGTTCTGAAATGAATCTAAAAAAATGCAACCCTTACTCAAAAGCAAAGCACTTGAGCTACATGTTTCCTGGGTAGATGAACTTATATAGTTATTCACATATACATTCAGCTTTGAGGACTTTTCTCCTCAATAAACACAATATGTAGATGGATTAACTTCCAATATTCATCCATTTACTAATATCTGGAATGTGACATAGGTAACCTCAAATTATTTTATTAATTCTATGTAAGTATCTGTAATGGTGAAACACACTTCATTGAAAAAATACCCGTTGAAAAGCTTCCTCGAATCACAGATCGCAAATAAACTTTCAAAAATAAACACTTCCTATGAATTCAAATCATACACACAAGCAAATGAATCATTTAAAAACAATGTATTTTCTCACAGTTCCCCAATTGGTCAATTTAACGCTGAGATCTTATATCCAGTAGCCTATTGTAGAGTGAACGAAATGGTCAAAAGGTATATTCATCCTTGTCCGAATTTCGCAAAATTTATGCGAATCGCAAAATATGAAATTATCAACACAGTTTTACGATTTTACGTTCTGGTTCCCACGAAAAGGGATATCCTGTAATGTTCAGAGAACATTGTTGGAACCAAGGGAAATAAGGTAGGAATTGGTGTTCTTGAATTTCTGGAGGTTATAAGCCTCGGGGAACACCTCCCTTGGCAATGTGTTCCAGAGCCTGGCTGTTCGTTGGATGAACGAGTCTTTGGGAAGAGATGCTCTGCAGGTCTCCAAAGTGACCACGAAGGGGTGCGAAGCCTCAACTCGACGGGTTAATCTCGCGAGGACTGCCAAGGGAGGAACAATTGTTGATGTTTCAGAAGAGCATCGTCCATGAAAATATCTATAAAATTGCCCTTTTTTGGACAGAATCCAACAGCTTCAGGGTATGTTTGAGTGCTGCACTCCAAATATGGGAACAGTATTCCAGGACAGGTCGGATCTGTGCCTTATAGATCATAAGCAGCTGACTGAAAGTGAAATAGGTCCTCGCCCGAAACAGAAAACCAAGTTTTTGGGATGCACTTTTAGCAATTGATCTCACGTGATTTTCCCAAGAAAGGTTATTGCTGATAGTAATACCAAGCATCGAAATCGATCTCTTCAAAGGTATGGTTACTCCTGACAAGCTTATGTTGGGCACAGTGAGATCGGCTTTTCTAGAGAAAAGGCATGCGACAAAATTTGCAGGAGGTAAGGGATCTGTTGTCATATTCAATTTCATTATTTCTGGTCCCACCATCGATAGAAGTTCATCGAAACGGCACGTTACACGAGTAATTGAAATATTTATTAGAGTCATTCAGTCGCATTTCGCGAACGGGGATGTAATAAATATCCATAAATTTTGCCTCATTTAAAAATGCTTCGAACACTTTCAACTCCTTTTTTGTGTCTGGCTGGATACACCATAAGCTCTATAGAGATGATATAAATATTCCAGGGAATTCATCTTGCGAAAAAAATGAAATCGAATGAAGAAAAGATGAATTACCTAATTATAATTTTGTACCTGTAATCTAGTGTCAAGTCTAGTCTTTTTTCGGCCTCTAGGTTATCAAAGTAACAACAAAACATTGTATGCATACTGTGTGGTTATAATTCTATTTGAATTCGTAAAAAAGTTCAAATATTTCGACTTCATTGCGATATTTTCAGCCACCATTTTATTCCCATAAATTTTGAGGAATTCGTACAAGCATGAACATACCTAAAGCCTGTTCGTTTGTATTGCTGAACTTGCCAAAGATGAATTTTTCCCATAGTTGTCTCTATTCAAGGCATGATATAAATAGGGAAAGTCATAGAAAAAAATCAAGTTCAGCAGGTAGAGCAAGCTCAAACGAAAAGGCCTCTAAAGAATGTTGATTTGCCTTCTTCATGTATAGTAATTTGAAAAACCTGATGTGGTTGATTGACCAGTTTTTTTTATAAGATCTATAATTACTGTTTCCCATCGTCCAAATAATACCTTGGTTGGAAATACGTTTTTTGATAAATAATAAAATCATAGTGAAAATATCTAACAGAGAACAACTACTTTCCTGGCTAAAACCACAAAATATTGAACTATATCTGTTATGTATCGGAAAATAATACCGTAATAGTCGTATGCAACTAACAATACATTTTTGTTATCATATTTACTCAGTAACATCATCATATATGTCATATTAGCACCTCGGATAATTCATGGCTGTAGTTTCCAGTATTTATGTTTTGTGGTTCACGTCCTTCGCGATTTGATTGTCCCGTTAACTTGTCAACTGTCATAGCAGCCAATAGCTTGCCTTGTTCACAAAAATTAAGAACAGGAAAGTTGGATTGTGAATCTGTCGCTTCAATTTTGTATTTTCGAAATTTATACTGCACAGCTGTAGCTCATTAGCACCCTGTTCCAGTAGCGCTTTGTTGTCTTTTCTCTCGGGTTTGTTGATATTTTATATGGTTCTTGATTTCATTTTATTGTTCTTGCGTTTGATTATTTCACTCACAATTATTACTTCGCAAAAAACAGTTTTTATCAGAACTACATCTTCAATTCATTGTTGTGAAAAGGTAAGACCAATAATTAACCTAATTGTTTTTATTGTTCATGCCCTTATTTTCCTTTCAGGATTGAACATGTTTTTTTTTCTGGTGAAGTGGGTGCCTTTTTACTGATGGCACATTTCAGAAGTGGTACTCCTAATCCTGATGGAACGTGGACATATTCACTTCAAAGCTCTCGGGAACAATGTTATGATGCATTTCCAAATGCAAATATCCCATACGCCTATGTTTTATTTTAATAGCAGATGTTAATTTCCAGTTATTCATTCACCAACTGTGCAGTGTTGGTTGCAAACACATTTTGGTTACGTGGTGTTCAATCATTGTTGAAGACCCGAGATATTTAATTATGAGAATCCCTATATCATAAATCGAAAATAATTATTTATCCATATTTGTTCAAGATAATCAATTGGAATTGAATTGATGAAAATATGCTCAATCGAAAAATTCCTTTCACCGAAAAACATTCATAATTCAGGTAATTTTCTTATCTATAAAAAAATTAATTATGTGAAAATCAATTTCTTTCCAAAAAATTTCAATATCCAACTTACAATGATCTGGAAGTAGCATAGTTTTCAGCATCTTTGCATACTTGACTGGCAGTGTTGTGAATCACTATATAGAATCGAACTTATACAGAATATAGTTGACACACATCATATGAAAATCTTATTTTATGCATTCATAGAATCCAAAATTTGAAGTTTGTAACTGGTAGGCCACATGTGTCGCAGGCATCTTTTTGTAGGCATCTTTATTGTTGCTATGGAAACCTTTTGAAGTAATGGAATAATTCTGTGAGTTGAATTTAAAAAATTACGAACATGGTGGTTGTTTGGTAATAATTTATGAAACCTCGAAGTGGAATGGAAGATAAAAAAGACTTGCAGTTCTTTCTTATTTTTAGGAACTTGCACAACAGAGCTCCTATACATTCAGGAAAAAGTACTCACTTTTTCCTCGTGGAAAAACATGTTTTCTTGAAACCTTTTGACCTTTTGTAACATGTCAACAGAGATGAAATGTCAAAATATTTTTTCCTGTAGTGAATTTCGAAACTATTCCAAAATGAAGTATTGATGACTTTAACTGATTTTTTATCAAAAATTTTGTTCTCAGGCCAGACAGCATCCCAAAAACTGACCATAGTGTGATGGTTTTATTTTGCACCTTATGTATGTTTCAATGTGCTGATTTTTTCATATTACCGTAGGTATGTTTGAAATTCATAAAACACAACATTCGATGACGAAAACAGCAAGTGAATCATTATAAGTTCATTCAGGAATTACAGGATATCAAATTAGCGTCAAATTATGTGTTGAGAACTGTGTTGAGTAAAACACAGCTTCCTGTAAACCTTGAAACGAAAATGTCATGATAAGATTATTGAAATCAGTATTGTGGCGAATGCAACCAATGGCAGCACCCATGATCTCCCGGAACCAGTAATAAGCAGCGTCACCATTGGTAGTTTTTCATCACAGTGAACAATTGTATTCCGAAATGAATCTCCAGAAAAAAATTGGAATACCATATGGTGCCACTTGAAAGATAAAAAGTTGACAGTCGCCGACGTTACAATTGGAATTAAAAAAAAAAAGATGATCAGAGCTTACAACTAGTATCTGATGAGTCATTTTATTTGCTTTTATTTATATAGAAATCCGATAATCAATAGTGGTGCTATGGCTTGGGGGTTTTTGTCAGTAAGCCTGTATACATACCCTATTTACACCAATGGCTGCTCTCTCCACCATATTATCCTTATTTTTATTTCCTCTCACAACCTCCGGAGCTTTCTCCAACACCCCTTTCACTTGCTTGAACCAACTGGTCATCTTGTTTTCCACAGAAGTTTGCCTCACTGGCTGGGTAACCGCGTTACTATCTGTAAACCAACTCGTTTTCGACTTTGAGGCCGCATTTTCTGTGTCCGGATCATCCTCAGGTAGAGAATCGATTCTGATAGGGGGTGTCGGAGGGCTCATGACGTCTTCGGTTTCGGAGTCATTGGAGATGCTCCATTCGTCGATTGTATGAGCATTGGATATGTTGCCATAAAGATCGCCCTGTAAAAGTTCCTCCAGGAGTTTGAAATCATTGATTCGGCCATATGCATATTCTGGAAGAAAAACAGATGATATGTATAATGTTGGTGAATCTTATACTCGCTGCTGTTTATTAAAAACTGATCGAAAAAAGTTAAGGATATTTTCAAACGTAAACGACAGAAGTATTAATAGCTATACCACTTTCTTTTAGGAAAATTTCTTCACGAGAGCTTTTTTGTCAAAGTAAACTTGACACTTTAATGAGAGTTTATCGGAATTTATCCACTCGAAGACTTTCCACTTCGCGACATTTCCATATATTAGATACTTTCCTGACAACGCAATATTCGTTCACAATTCTGTATGTCATGGAAAACTTACGGCAACCTCTTTTTGCTGTCATAATAATAAAATATTTATACATGAATTGAATTGTCATAGCAAAAACACAGTATGTGTCCTTGACTTTTTTCGGTTACTTTGTTTTGTATTCGTTTGAATTATCGAATACATAGCATCTCTTCACAAATTATGTAGGGTTCTCAAAAAAAAACAAGGAATTAGGTTTTCAAATAATATTTTTTTTTATTTCTAGACCAATTTTTTTTTGCCTTGTTTCAGAGAACATTGATCAAGTCAGATCGCTTGGTCATATTTTTATATCTATTCGAAAGCAAAATTGAAACTCATCTAAAACCTCGGTCAAACGACCGGGCGTGAATTCCCCACGTTTCAATTCATCATCTCAAATACGTTTCAATTCACTGGTGTTAGGATTGATGTGATAAATTTTGATTTTACCTCAAGTTTAGGATGAGGATATCTTTCATTAATGTAATTATAATTGTGATTATTACTATTATTTTCATCATTATTATTGTTGTCATTGTTATAATCATTAATATTATTAAGTATTATTGTAACTCGTTCAACTCCATGTTGTGCTGTTATTTTTCATTATTTTATATATTTTATGCAATTTTTGATTAATGATTATTTAGTATGTTTCTGGAAACATGTGGTTGAACACTCATCAAGTAATTGTGATCATTTATTTTATGTCATATATTCTTGTTCTTCTTCTTGTTGATACACTTCGTGAATGAATACATTATTACAAAAGTACTTTCAGGCTTCAAAACGTCCTGGACAATGTACACATTGGGACAGGATATAAAAATTGTTGTCATGATAATCATGATAATTATTGTGAACATGGACGTGTTGAACATGAGAACAGATCACATTCCAAAACGATACGATTTTAGAAGCACATTCAGGATAACTATACCAGACAGATCTGAATTGGATACCACAAAACTCATCATCATCCTGCGAGGAAAAATCTGGAGTACAGACGGATCTAAGACGGCAGACGATACGGGGCGAGTATACTTGGATAATCCAGATACAAGAATTAGGCCGTGAACATTTTGGAGCAGATGAAAAAAGTTGCGATACTAGTGAAGCAATGAAATAAAAAGCACGGGCTTTTATGCAGGGATTCACGTCGGAGCGGCATGACTGCCGACCGGCGAAAAGTGCGAGACAGTGTTTATGTCTTTGCTATTCACTGACAGAGAGTATCGATTATTATTATTATTATTATTATTATTATTATTATTATTATTAGAGAGTATCGATTGAGAATTAGTCGAAATAGATATGCAGAAAATGTAGTGCTAAACAATGGATATCAACAAATTGAAAAAACTTATAGGATCACTTATGTGAGATCGAAGATACATGAATAACCACAATGTATTTGTGTTGCATTGAAGGTGGAATATAGTTTATTATGGTATTATTTCAGTTAGTACCTACTCATACAGTGAATATTGAATAAATCATATATCGTTATAGAATTTGTAATACTATATTCAGTTCATTGATATTCAACACCCCGTGTTATGTAGGGATGACGGAAGAATGACAAGAGTTTTTTAGATATGCGCTATATTCCGAATTCAACTGGTCAGTACTGTCAGTAGATCCACTGACTCTACTGAAAAGCTATGATCCGAAATATAAAATCAAAAATACAGTGCTGTAATTCGAAACACGTTTTCATCAGTAATCAGCAGCAGTTGATCAGCTGGTGAAATTTGTCAGTTGTAATTGATCTGGCAGATGCTCCTGCTTGAGGTAAATAAATAACAGGCATTTTCTGATATCAAAATGATATTATTAATGTATTATTGATAAGCCAACACCGGTTCGATAGCAGCAGCTCTCGAGTAAAGACGTGCCTATTTAATCCGCTGAATACTCATAATAGTACGTGAGCCAATTTCAAGCTATGACGGAGTCAAATAGTGAAAGTGAAGATGATTCATACAGTGAGATGGAGCTGGACGATGGGGGCGTTTGGAAGAAAGTCAGATATAAAAAAAGAAAAGCAGGAAAAACACTCGACAACACAACCAAGAAACCAAAGCCTCTCACACAACAACAGACACAAGATACAAACGCAGGTACAAGCTCAGGTGCTAATACAAGCAGCACAAAAAACTCTCAACCCACAAAAAACAGCACGAATAATAAAACCAACAATCCTGAAGAGATTCCCACAAAAACACCATTCCACAAAAACAAGAGAAATTTCTCTGCAAAAATGAATGAGATTATCAACCAACAATACAACAATATTTTTTACATAAATGTCCCTAAAAACTTAAACAGAATTGAAATGGCGGACATTTGGGAAAATGAAAAACCAGGCAATAATGATGTGATAATACAAACAACCAAGGGATTTCTTCTGAAATCTGATGCCCCTAAACTGCTCTTAACTAACCACCTAGACAATCTAAAGAAAAAAGAAATCATAACGAAATTTACCGAAACCAACCCATCAAAAAGAGCTACAACAACCCAAAAAGTTCAAGAACCATCTTACTCAGCAGTTATTTCCACCGTGGAAAAAGTCATAACAGATGAGAATATTAGTACTTTCCTCACTTCAATAGGGATTGAACATAGATATTGCAAAAGAATCATATCTAGAAGACTCAACACCCCAACATCATATATTAGAATAATCACTACCTCTCTGAAGTCTTACGAGAAACTCCTCAATGAAGGTCTGTTTTATAAAACCAGGCACTACCCAGTTTACACTAGCAATGCACCGGAACCAACTCCAATACCATGCAAAAAGTGCCTACAATTTAGCCATACCACAGAAAATTGCAAAGAAGACATTAAATGCGCCAAATGTGGACAAAACCATACGACCAACCAGTGTAAAACTAGCCTACCACCTAAATGCACTGATTGTAATAGCGAAGAGCACCAGGCATGGTCATTTAAAGGCCCAAAGAGACCAAGACAACCAATAGATGGAATCCCCAATGCAACAATCAAACCCTTGAATAAAATGTCAAGAGAAATCAAACCTAAATTGAAAAAATGCAGAATACACGGTCCTTACACGATACATGATCACATCGTAAACACATATATTCGGAAATTGAACAAACCAAAAAACCAGGACAGAGCAGAACTACTACAGAAGTTGAAAATGAGGTTTGTCAAAGAATTCAATGTCGACACCAACGTGGTCTTTCCGGGACAAAATAAAGCCTTCGTTTTTATGTTTGACTTAGACTCACCGGATAAACCATCACCCACCGAATCTACGCTAGGAGAAGTCGTATCTGTTAATGTTCAAGACGCTTAAAATTTTATATGCCAACATAAACAGTTACCTACCCAAAAAACACCTGATATGCAACTATATTGAAAATAATGACATCAATTGTGGGCTATTCCTAGAAACGAAAATTGAAAAAAACACAAAAATTCGTTATAGAAATTGGAGCATACAGCAAAGACCCGGAAACATTGTCAATCAAAATGTCAGAGGAGGTAGCCTAATGATGACTCACCCATCACTGAACATGAAAAATGCCAACCCCCCAAGAATTAATAACCCCCTCAATGAGGCTTCACATATCACCATACCTTTCCTAGAAGACAAGCTACATATTATTCTAGTGTACATTCATCCAACTTCTAATATCGAAAATACAATTTTTACAATGGCAGCTCTACACAAGTATGTTCTGATAATAGGGGACTTCAATGTTAACCGTACAAAAAACAAGCAAATCAAGGACTTTTTGAACAACTCTACATTTATGAAGGCAGTCATTCCACCTACATTTATCATGGCGAACAATCCTGATTCATCTCCAGATATAGTTCTATATACCAAGAACCTACAGAATAATATATCGGACTGCATAACGCACCCAGATCTTGGTTCAGACCACTTGGCAATCGAAATTGAAATTGACCTTCAAAAAACAATCAACAATGAGGAAGAAACTAAAATCAATCTAAATAAATGTGATATGGACCCTATTAATGAGGAAATGATAACTTTTACAAACGAACACCCCAACATTAATAGAGACATAATAACAGCATTCAACAATAAACTGAGCCAACTAGTTCAAGCTAACTCTCCCAAAACCAAGACAAAGTACTACCTACATGAACTACCTCCTTTCATTATCGCATTGATTAGAAAAAAACGAGCTATGTACAGAGAATACCGACAAAACCCAAATCAAGAATTTAAAGCTACACTGAACAACTATAACAAAAATATACAAAATCTCATACACCATTATAGAGAAACAAAATGGATTGAAACTTGTAACACAATAAACGAGCTACAGGGCCGTAATTACTGGCAACAAATAAAAAAAGTGTCAAAGTTTAAACCGAAATTGAATAACGTGCCTGCTTTGAAAAAAAATGGAGAAGAATTTACATCAGACGCCGACAAAGCCAACATCATGGCAGAACACTTCACCAAAGCCTTCACAAAAGATGAAGACATACAATTTGACCAAGAATTCCATGATGAGGTGAGCAACTGGCACCTGGACTACTACACAACTGCACCCCAAGATATCATTCCACCCATCAATGAAGAGACCTACTTTGGAATAATAAATCAAGGTAAGAATTCTGCTCCAGGAGAAGACCAGATAACAAAACAAATATTGAGGAAACTAGACTATGACATTCATTTATATATCATCAAAATATATGAACA